CATCTTTTACACAGAGTGTAACACACCTAATTTATTGAAATAGACTGTTATTTACATAAGCTAATAGATTCATTCTAGAAACCTTAAATGAATATCATGCATCTCTGAGTATACAAAAACATTAAAATCATGTTTTGGATATCTGTAATACAAAAAGAAATCATATCACTTTGTTGGTTTAGTGCAGAGAGTGCGATGCACTAGCCAAGTCTGAAATTGGCCCAGGAGGCATGCATATTCCCTGAAGTGGAGGCCAAGCAAACCCAAAGTTCTCGATGAGGCACTGGTTAACCCATTAACACTGAGGCAAAGATTTGGAAAGAGGCCATTAATGCAGGATGTTGGCGCACATTGACAGTTTCCTGTTTGCATCCAGCTCATTTGGCACTTTGTGGGCAATATTAGGTACCTAAAAACTTGTATTCTGACATCATGTAAATTTATTATTTTTTTTTTAATGTGAGGGTTTACCTTCACTTTAGGTTTTATTGGCCAAAAGTTTCACCATAGAAATGATGGGAATGGTCTTGATGCGAAGTCACCAGCTACTTGGTCCAATACATCAATGGCATGTACATACATGCTACCCAGCAGCATGGGGTTAAACATCTGGTTATATGAAATCTCCAGAACTAAAATCATTGATCAATTTCCAGATTACACATACTTCAATTTGCTGGAATGTACTATTCTGGAATATTTACCTTGATACAACATAGTTTTTAATCTGTTTTATTTCACCAATGAGGAAAAAATACTTGATAATAATGCAGTAAGTTCTATGAATCATACAATTCAATTCATTACACCTAATCTATAATTTTATTTAAAAAGGTCAATAATCTATTATGTATTATTTACAAAGATGCTCTCCAATCAAACCTAGGTGGGGCATGTAATATACACCAAGGAAATAAATAATATACTTTCAACAGACTATGAAAAGAATGGAGGAGCACATAGAAGACATTTATGTTATCATCCATATGAATATAAAAGCATCCTTTGTATTTAATAATGTAAAGATCTGTCTCTATAAATATCTAGAAAGTTATCTACATACAGTCATAGAACCTTGTGACATACCACATCAATCAATATTCAGTAACATAAATATACAAAAAAAAGATTATCCTTCTAATAACTAAACATAATTAAAGAAACCTTACAGGTGCACATATACATACGGATACATATATATAACTAATTAAATAAAGAGATGCATGTTACAAAAAAAAAAAGTTCATGTCTATCATCCCCGCTGAACTTGAATTTGGAACTTGCAGGCAGGGAGCTGTGTCACTTCTGCTGTTACCACACAGGTGACCCCCAGGTTGGCAAGGCATCCACGCACAAGTCCACATGTGAAGGCAAGATACTATGGAGAGACAAAGAAAATTCAAAGTAACACGGAAATAATATTTCATTTCTCTTAACCCTAAAGCAGTGAATGATGTATTACATCCTTAGAGGGAAGGCTGGATAGCATAATATTAATGTCCAATGCTTAGGTGGGTGGAACTTTGCACGGCCAAGCAGTAACAATTTGTAACTGATCTCTAAAATTTTCATGTACATTGCCTGAGCTTTTGCAACACAATTGTTTCATACAAGGAAATTCTTCTGAATATTACACATTTCAAATGCTTACCCTGGGGGCATATTGAAGATACTGCTTTCCTGTAGCCATGTGTGAGAGAAAACGGAATCGGTTGTCATGAAGGACATAAACTCCCTGATGATTGGTTCTCAAGTTGTCAATTTGTTTCTTGTATACAGTTACCCATAAATCTTTGCAGATATATTTCATTATGTCTAGTTCATCTTTGTAGCGGCCAGATTCTCGTGTCAACCTGAAATTAAAAGTTGGATAACCTATTTGTAATAAAGCTAATATCAAAGATAAAATCTGTACACAATCTTGGTAATACTATATCCGAATAATACATATTTCAAATAGCATATTTGTATCTGATACAATTGTGGTAGCCTGAGCAATTTAAGATTCACAGAATTCTAGTACTGTGCTTGGGTACAGGAATTTTTAAAACAAAACACGACAGAGAAAACAGATGAATGTGAACTAAGTTGTATACTGATACTATCCATAATAACATGATGAAAAAATCATAATAAAAAAAGTTGAAATTACCAAAACCTAGTACTTCAATTTGTTTTCCAATACTCAATGTTTCTGCACATAGATGGCTCTGCCAAAGCTTAGCCACAAAGGAGTCAATTAGTAGATCTTGCAACCTCACTTTTCCTTGAAAAAGCAGGAAAATGCTTTTTTTCACTAATGCTATCAATATTGACAGTTATTTTTGTTATAAGAATGATAATTACTATATTGTTAGTAACATTACTAACAGCAGTATTAAATACTTTAAAATATTATCGAAAATCACAGAAAAGGGTAAACAGGTGAGACAGTTAGTTCGCAGAATTGGTTCATTGGTGACAGTACATGTGGAGCCATCTATATGTAAAAACAACTACT